TATAATAACCATATGCATTATGGTAAACTGAAAATCACTCGGCCATTTCAGAGTAGAAGCATCAGCTCCCTACAGCAAGCACGCTAGGCTGCCACTGGAGTGGAAAGGCAGGAAAGCTCCCCCCAGCTGCCTGTCTCAACATTCTACTATTATGGATGTGGACCAATAATAACACATATTGGTTTGTTTGTGTCACCAACTCCAATGGGATTCACATGGGTATCCCCAGCAAGTGTGGTGACAAAAGGCTGAAAGTATATGAAAAGAAAAAGGAGGTAAAATATTTTCATTTCCACAAAATATTACTGAGAAGACACACAATCATGTCCTTTTCCTGGGTCGCTGAATCTAAATAAACAAACAATGTTTGTGCTGTTTGGGTGTTCTCTTTCATAATTGAGGCCTCTGATAGTAAATAGAGCATGATTTAATTGTATGACACAAACGAACCAGCAGTGGCATTTCTCCAACTCTGTCCTCACGTCTCGGGCCATGTTTGTGCTATAATAGCTATTATTGTCAGGGTGAATCAGCAGTGAATAAAATGCTCACTGAGCCCGTCATATGTCACATGTCCATGTAGATTTATTTAACCCTAACATGATGCACACACCAGGGAATTGCTTGTGTATAGCAGTGGACTGGGTGGTTAACTCTCTAGCTCTCTATTTCTTTTTTATTTTCTGCATCTGCTCAATTCACAAGGGAGCCTCCTACCGTCTCCCTCCACGCTGAATGATTGCAGTGGGCAAGCAAGTATGTGTGCAAATGTGTGTGAGTGTGTGCGCACACACACAGAGGAGAAGGGGTGCTATCTCTGCAGATGGAGACAAGGCAGTGGACGAGGAAGCAATTACAAGCTGGTAGGTTTCACCTCGCCACGCCTCCTCCCCCCACCTTCTCCCATACATCGCCCTGGGGCTTGCTGCATTACAGAATCATGGATATAATGGTGGAATGGGCCTCAGGGCCCCCTCCAAAACAACCTGCTAATCCCCTGTGGAGTGGGAGGTGAGGGAGGAGGGGGAATTTGGGGGTAACAGGGCAGGGCAGACGCCCTGACAATAAGTCCATCCCTGACACGCGCCAGCACCCTCAACCACCCCCCAATCTCGTGCACCCTCCCTTCAACCATAGCGACAATCCCCTACGGGAGGAACCAGCAATGTCAGCCATGGGAGAGCAGGAAACCCCCAGGCCCGACATTGGCCCTCCATCGCAGCCAGGCCAGAAGCAGGAACATTCAATCAGGCCGCTGCTCCACTCTATCTTTATCTGATGCTGCTAGTTGCTTTTTCCAACGGCACTCAAAAAATGGAACGGGGTTGCACACTAAATCAAGCTTCTCCAGCCATCGGCAGAGAATTCAACTTGCGCGCACACAGATGCAAACCAGCTCATTAAAATGGTTTAATTATGTGTCTAAATTATGATGAGCAATGACTTGCTTGATTGGTTGTATCAAAGGGCTTTAATGGGGAGAAAGACTTCACTCTCTGTCCGTCTACAGCATTAACTCTTGTGTCTACACTCAACATGACACAATGCAGCCTCGACAAGTAGTGCAGTCATAAGTCAAAATGTGTTTGTCTTCAGTGTCATTTGTGAAAGATTATTCATTATGTACTTATTAAGCATTGGAAAGACATTCTTGGGTACGTATGTCACCCAAGATTCAGCTCAGATCTCAACTTCATGCCTCCTCTTACCCTCTGTTACCTGAGCTCATCATTTTTACTGCCAATCTAACCCATCTTTCTGTTCAATAACACGACTTTGATACTGTCCCTCTTGGCTCCATCTAATGTCTCCATATCCCAAGTCCATTTAGGAGTCAAATATTAACATCATCTCATCAATCTCCCAACCTTCTTGCTTCAGGTTAAAAACCAGTAATCACTCTACTAGAGGCTAATGGGCGCCTTAACATCTACTCAGCAAGAGTCCATTCATATTTCATCAATGGCAGTGGCCCCCGCCCTCGCAGGGCCCCGCTTCACTAGTAAGGCGAATCAACATCAAACGCTGCAACCTTCCAATTAGACAGCAAGACTTTCTGATCTCATCTCGATTTGGCCCAAGATCAAATGTTCCTGCAAGGATCCAAGGATTTCCAAGGCCTTTTAGTTACCCAGCCCCCTGTCAAAAGGGGATCAAATGTTTGCTGAAAGCACCTGGAGGAGATCACATTTAAAATGGCTAAGGTAGGGACTTACTTGCACCAATATTTAGATATTCCACAGCAATTCTACAGCATGGATATTCATGAAAGACCCAACAGGACTGAACAGAAAAGTAAAAACAGACGTGAATCAATGATGTTAATTCTACTAAGTATTGTTTTGCTATGAGAGACCTGTGGGAAGGAAACAGCGTATTCCTCCTGGCATGAATGATTTAAGGTGAGATTCCATCTGAGGTTATTTTGAAACGAGGATAAACATTTGGTTATCATTTTCTCCTGCAAAATTTGGAGACCATGCTGATGGAATATTTTGTCTTGCCAGCATTGTGTACCAGCATTGCAATAACCATGCTAAATGTTATTACTGTTTGGCAAAAGCAAATTCAAAATGTAAAGTCTTTCATTTCATTCGGATTATCTGATGAATATTAAGTTAATTATGCGGGGCTGCTAGAAAAGTTTAATGGTGAGCTTTAAGGTGCCAGACACTTGATCAAAGATCAAACAGCTTTGAACCCCCCACCCGTTATTGTGTCACGACTAGGGGTGTGCCACATCATATAGTTCACAAAATATCATTATAATGACGTAATACCGTTACACACTGCAACAACAAGCACGACTTAAAGTGAAAGTGACCTTGCTACCGGCTCAACGGTGAAGAGTTATTTCCAAAAAGGGAAGTGACTTCAGGAGTGTGGAAGTGGTGTGGTTATAAAAAAAATCACATGTACAACAAACCATAGCAATATGTAAGAAGTGCAAGAAGACAATAACAACAAAAGGGGGCAATACAATAAACTTATTTCCCCAGCAAATATCCCGTGACGGATAGTGAGTGATTGTAAGTTTTAGACCAAAAATATTTTTCAGCATATTGTCATACCGTCAAGAATATCATTATCGCAGAAATACCCTGAACTATTGTGATATTATTATAGGGCCATTTTTGCCCACCCCTTGACCATCGCATGTGATAGATGGCTTTTCACCCCAACTTCGAGTGTGGCGGTTTGGAAGGGTTATAAAATATTTTGCTGTACAATGTGGTCAAATAAACATGTCATACAAACTAGAACTTTTTTTCTAGCATAACCCAGTCCTCACTAGACTCTCTAATACCAAAAGCAAAGTTTCATTTTAACTAAAACTAACCCGAGCCACCAAACAGCTTCTCACCCCACCTTTGTGTGCTTGCGTAGGCTATCATGTAACCTGAATTTCACAACAGGAAAACATTCCAGTTCCTTCCTCAAAAGGACCCAGCCACAAAAAAAGTGCAACACTGCAAAAACATGTCTAAAAAAAATAAATCAAAGTTTTATTGCTGTTGTTAAGGGGGAAAAATGGGATAAAGAGCCTTAATCCAATTAACATGGCCTCTTGTAGCAGTTTGGGGACAATAAGACAAAATTAAATGTCTTCTTTTTATCCAGCCTAGTGACAGAAGGGAATCGGTTTAAGAAGCTAAATGGAATAAATCTACTGTATCCTGCCCTATTGAAATATGAAAAATATGAATGCTCTCTTTGAGGGCTGCAGGACTCTGCCCTGCACAGGATTAATTATAATATAACTGCACAGTGACTAAGGTCAGGTCTTTGGCACTTAATATGGACAGAGAGGTGAAACAAGTCTTTACCAGGGGAAAATTTAGCAAAGCAGTCAAGTGGCAGAGAGAGGCCAAAGGCTAGTTTCTGGTTCACTGTGCTTCACTGATTTCAGGTCATGGTGGCAAGGTGGCACACATTTTGGGACACTAAGCAGCATCTAAAACTGCATGGGAGGTTGTGCAACCAGATAGGTTACATACAAGAAAGAAAGCACAAGAAGGGAATACATGTAACCTCTTATCATATCACAGTTACAGTTTTAAGAGGTTTATACTGGCCACATTTTCGTGGCATCCTTGCAAAGATTTACAAATGATTATTGGCTCGTTTTCAGGGAGGCTGAGGGATCATGAAGGGACCAGAGCAGACCAATATCTCTGGGGGATATAATTATGAGACAATTAAGCCGCCTCTCAGCGGCCCCGTCTCAATGAGCTTGTTTTTTGTGGGTAAAGACAGGCAAAGAAGAAATTCCTACCACACCAACAGGACAAAGTCTGTGTGGGATTTACCCCCCCCCCGTTTGGCATTGGTCGCGATGTTGTCGCTTGTTTGTCTCACTTCAGTGTTTGAACCACAGCCTGGAACAATGCACTGAAGGATGCACACATTTCTCACAGACCTCTCAGGGTTCAGCGATCTCACTCCCAGACCCATCAAAATTAAAGAAAATGTATCTTCTTTGTTTTCACCCCTATGTGTGTGTCTTTCGAAGAATTGGCAGAGGTTGAGCTAAATAGCCCACACAAGAGTGTCTGGTGAGCAGATGATTTCCTTACCATTCAAAACAGACAAAATACAACAGGAGAAAATACAAAACACCTCTGAGTCAAGATAGCCCACTAGTTTATAACCGGACAATGGCAAGGGGAAATAGGGCAAAGCACGACTAGGGGGGGGAAATCAAAATGTGGCTGTTCATTTGGCAAACCATGGGGGGTCAGAGCGACAACCCTATGCTTTGCAATGTGGCAGTCAGATGAAAACCAACCTCTTGCTATGGGCTGTTTGAAAGAGAGCTGATGCTACCTTACATAGAAAAAATAAATCACTCACTATAACAATTCGTAGTGTTGAAAGTCATCATTCGTAGAGCCAGCTCACCTCTACAAACCTATCCACATATTCACACATGCCCTACAACTGAATGTGAGTGAACGCAGAGGACAGCAGTTTTAAAAACATAAAGGCAATAAACTTACCGACGCCGTATTTTTCCTGCTCTGTAGGTATCCACATGTTTACTTTTGGCACATTGATGTGTGTGGTCGGAATAGCAGCGAAATGCAGGGTTTTGGTGCTGTGTAACGCATTCTACTGGCGTGCTTTCCTCCGGTTTGTAGTAGGAGTCATTGTTTAGGTTACAGAGAGAGAAAGCTCTGCTGATACCGCCGCCGCCGCCGCCGCCGCTGCTGCTGCTGCTGCTCGTAGTGGTACAGGGACGTGCTGCCTTCTAGTGCTGTTGGAAATGTGACACTTGCGAGGTTTGACGCACTTGCAAGCCCAGTGAAATTAGATTGTCACCTCAACTTCCTGACATGAGAGGGCGGAGAGCAAGGAAGCTGTACATGTATCTGGTGTTTTAAAATTATATTTTTGTTGTTAATGTCACCTGTAATACTCATCAGTAGTCTTAATATAAAAGCACTTATAAGTTGATCTGTGAAAGTGTTAATCTTGAGAATATTGGGCTGACATTTTTGTATCAATAGCTTTTCTACACTACATTTGAATTCACCTCTTAATAGTTTTAATTGGTGCTAATGCTTTGCCACTCTACCAGCACACATTTAACTCTAAAGTTAGCCTTTGCACAGGTCAAGCAATAACCATGGCAGTATGTGACATTGTTCTATGTTAGTGACATGAAATAACTTCTTAATAAAAACATCTGAAACAAGAAATAGGCTACGACACAGTGCATTGCTGTCACCAGCTAAGTTAAAGGCTAAAGCGCTAATAGCATAAAAGGCTAGTAATGTTACCACTAGCATTAGCTTATTTACAGTAAGCTGTAAATTTAAAGAAAACATGCCACTGGCTATTTTCCTTCCTCAAAATATGTTACAGCAGGACTAACATTAACTTACTAGACTACCAAAAAACCCCATGCATTTTCCAGTTTAAACATGCTAGCTAGTTTCCCATCCTATTTTAATATATTTCTGGCAGACTAGTCTTTGCAAGTTAGCCTATAGCCTACCTCAAGAATGTTTTTTTTTTTAAATGTAAATGAGATAGACATGAAGCCTAGCCTATTAACAAAACACATTGTTGTTGTCACATTGATGTGACCAAAACACCAAACACAGGGTGAAAATGTGAAAGGTTATTAAAACAAATTATAAAATGGTTAAAATTTACTTTAACGTCCTCTTCATTCTTTCATTGCACTGTGTAACGTTGTTTCATTAATAAACATATAGATGATTCACCAAGATGTCCAGGGTTTGCAATCATTTTATACCACAAACCACTTTACTTGTGATTTAAATCAGTTTACAAGTGGCAGCTGAGATTTACGATATCGGATGTAGGAAGTCCCGAGGAGTCCTTGAATGCATCGCCAGCGCAGCGAGAAACGAGAGAAACGCATTCTGGGATTTGTAGTAGAACCCAATGACGTCAAAGCACAGCATCTTTACAGCCATTACACTATTACTTTGTTTTTGGCCTTCCTGTAAGCAGTTAATGAGAAATAAATAAACATGGACTCACATAGACCCATGATTTTAGGGTTATAGTGTAGTAGAGCATGACTTTGTGACAGTGGAGAATCCTCTCCTGGACAGACAAGCCTTCTACTGGGAAAACTATTGCATGAAAAAAATACACAAGACTACATGAGAAGAAGAAAACTGGAGGCAATTCACAAGAGAGTGAGTTTATATATGTGCCTGTGTTGCCTGTGGGTAAGTGTAGCCTATGTACACCCAGTGTCACACATTTTTTATATACCGGCTGTCCTTACCATCTAATACAACCATAGCACCCATACACTTTCCCCGCTTTTCTTTCATTCCCTACTAGCTCTCATCATCTGTCTGGGTGGAGCTGTGTTTTGTTTGAGCACAAAACCCATTCTAATGCATGTTCATTTCCCATGCTGCAAATGGTGCATTAAAATGCTTTGAAGTGTCAAATATACCTCTCTGTCTCATCACAAGTTCACATGTCCACTTACCCATCCACCTTTGTAGTTTACATGGTGAATTATGAATGGATATGCTATGAAAAACAAGCAACTTGAGGCTCGCTGCTGGTTTTGTCAGCTTAACGTAGCCTATACTGTGTGCTAATTTTACAGTGTGTTTCCACGTTGCACTGCTTCATCCCTATGCTTCATTGCCATACAGCCCCCTACAATATTTCTGATTGGAGAGGTGGGGGTTGTGGGTAAAGGGTGATTTTCAGAATGTTGTACTCTACATATAAATAAATCATAAGCCGGGGAGCAAAGTAAGACAGAAACCCAATGGATTCCCTGCGAGGACAGGAGATTGGAGCCAGTGTGCTCTTTTAGAGGGTGGAAACTAGACTATGTTCTACATCAGTAAATCACTGTGCAAACTCCAGCTGCCATGACATTTAGGTTGTGATAGAGGTGGAGAAATATGGCAAGGTAAATAAGAAAACAGGAATGGGACAGATAAGACAGACATGACATTTTTCTCAACTTCAAATGACTAGAATATCTGGATACTCATTGAAATGATACTATTGTTAACGTACAGTGCCAGGTTCCAAAGAGATTTTACAAGAGAATTTACAAAATGCAGTGTTTGAGAAGTGAAATGTTTACATGATAATGCTGACACACTGATGTTTAACTGGTAATGTTTACTATCTTCGTTTAGCATGTTAACATGCTAACATTTGCTAATCAGCATTAATGGTGATGGTGCTAAATTAAGTCAGAAGAATTCATCCTCTAGGGACAAGAATGTTTGTACAAAAATGTATGACAATTCATCCAGTAGTTTTTGACATTTGTCAGTCTGGACCAAAGTGGTGGAATGACCAACACATCGACCGATCAACATTGCACTCCCTCCATTCACTCTGCTAGTGTGGCTAAAAATACCCATCTTCAGTATGTTTAGACAAATGTTCCGTCTTTTCGATGTCTGCGAAGTGAAACCATGTGACACTGTAAGCCTCAGACCGACAGAGAATGATGAAGCAGCAGCTGATGGGCTGAAGACAGGGGGAAAAAGGGAAGGAGAGGGAAGTGGCATTTCCGTTCACTGACCACACTGTGAAGGATTATCATAGTGGACTGAGGACAGGTCGTGTCACCCAGCATTATGTTTATGTTCTCATTTCTCTCCTTCCCTTCATCTCTTGGTTTCCCCTTCCTCTTATACCTTGTCCCCTCCCAGTGTCCTTACATTACTTCATGTTTGCTCCGAGTTTCATCAGAGGGACCCATATGTTACCTGCAGGGCGTCGTAGTTGAGAGTACGACTGAAGATGATGGAGGGGAGATGGAGTCGGTTTATAGCCAGTTCCACTAGCCCAGATGGGCTCTGAAGATTGCTCAGCATTTCTGACACTCAACCACCAGTCTCTTTTCATCTCTGGCCCATGGCCACAAATAAACGCAACATCTGTGATGCTGCCACATAAATCAGACTGGACTGACTAGACTGAAGAGAAGAGAAGAGAAGAAAAGAAAAGAGATTTCGTTAGCATCAGCCAGGACTCCATTGCTGTTGGAACATAAATAAGATGTATCTAACAAAGGAGATGCAAGATGACATGGTCAGTGATGCGTTTTAAGGCCATAGTATAGCTTTCAGCTTTCATTTAGGTATAACCGTGGTTTATTCTTTGTGTTGTCTCATTTTTCCTTTGGGCATTATACCACTAGAATCTAGAACTACAATCAGTTTATTTGTCAAAAAAGTTAGACCACACTAGGCTGACTTACTTTGCTGGCTGGCTGGCTGGAGCAAAAATGGCACTGGCTTATCTCAAGAGACCCCTGCCTATCACCTCTTCACAGCACTTCTCAGCTTTGATTTAATTCACACCAGGAAGTGTAGGTCAGATGGGGGAAAAACATATGCCTCCCCCAGCTTACGCGCAGCAGGCAATATCCTCACCTCCAGTAGGAACAGGCCTCTAAATATAGCCATGAAAATAGGCTGTGCCTTACAAGAAAAACACCTCTCCCTGTACATTGTACTACATAAAGAATTTCACAACCCAGTACCTCTGATGAGGGATCTTCACATAGAAATGCTGGCATTAATTACTTTTTACTTTTCCTTGACAGCATACTATTGGCACGTTTACTGTAGCTTCGTGAGGGATTAGTAATTTGCTCTTCCTATATCATGTGTAATGCCTTCTTAGGATATAATCCACCCATATAAGCACATACTCACGTGCACGTATGCACATAAATAGACACATATTGTGAGAAACAGTTTCTTCCTGTGGCATGTGTGGATCTTAGAAGCCAATACAGTCAGACCTACAAACAAAAGTAGACAGAAGCATTGTGAAGGTGTGGAGGAGTGTCATAGTAAATGTGTCAACACAGACACTGATATAAAAAAGGGATGCATGTTGTATTACTTTGATACATACAGCATTTAAAATGTATCAAAATTGTAGGCAGGTAGGCTATTACATTCACCATCTTAGTTTACATGCTTACAACACTTTTTAAAACACAACTTAGCGTTAAACACAAAGTACAGCTGCGACTACTGGAAATGTCATGAGGTATCTGGTCATAAATTAATAAATGTATTGGAAGAATTTTAACTTTGACCAGAAGATTGCGCTACATGAAACGTTGAGGGATGACAAACATTATACCAGATCTTCCAAGTGTACCAAATTTCATAGCAATCCATCCAATAGTTGTCAAGACAGTTCACTAAATACCACGATGGTGGCGCTAGAGGAAAAGTCAGAGGATCACCAAATTCAGCAGGAGTCTTGCTCTGGGGACCATGTCTGTGGAAATTGTCCTGGCAATCCATCTGTGGAGACAGTTCAGCCTAAACTAAAGTGGTGGACTGACCGAGCCACATTGCCATCCTTTGAGCTGCTAAAAATTCTTCAAAACCACTAAAAAGCTTTGCCAGATATCTGAGCATTATTCTTGATGTTCTCCATCATGAATGACAGAGCATCATCTGCAGATCCTACACTCTACATCAGAGCAGCATATCAACTCAAGTTTTTTCCTGCTCTCTGCTGGGCCTTCACGTCAAACCTTGTTTTGTTTTGGCTGGATGTAAAAATAGACCACCCTCCGTCTCCCTCCTCACCATCAACACGGAATGCACCACGGATGATTTTTCATTGGTTTGATATGCAAAACCGCACTCAGAAGCAGTAGAAATACGATTTGCAGTACAGGAATGGATCCTGTCACTGTGGGAATCAAAAGACTCAATAGCACAGTGTCGTCCCCACCCCCCCTTGTTCTCTCTTATCTAGTTTAACTGCTTCTCTGATAAACCCAAAACGTTTGCTATCAACAAGTATATGAGTTACTGCAGACAAACAATACACACTTATTTTTTTATATCTGGCTAATGCGTGTTTCCAGCTGCTTTTTACCTTTGAAAAGAGGTCTTTACTCCTTCAGGCACAAAGTGTTTTTTTGGTTTTCAACATATTCCCAAAGATCTTTGATGGGCTCTGAACCCTGATCTTGTTTCAAGACATCAACAAGTGGAGTTAAAAGGAGGAGCTCAGTCATTTGTTATCTGCTTTAGCCTATGAAGTGGTCTTTTTCATCCGCTTTGCCTCTAGGAAGCCTCTGAACAGACAAGCTCTCCAGCCGCACTTGTAACAAGCAAGACATTTTCATGTAAACACTTGTTCCACTACACTATATGGTTGTGAGTGGTCCTCTAGTCCATGATGTTCTGGGGTTCCTCACTGTATGGTAAACACTAACAAATAAAGCTCTTGTTTCAATGTGTATATCTCTTTTAAATATGAGCAGAGGAGCTCATTTAAGATTATCTTTTCAAAGGCTATCCAAGTATTTTCTCATGTTCAGCCTTCTTACTACAATTACTTTATATCGCTGCTCTCAATTTTCCAAGAACATGCCATAGTTTTCAAACCTTCCTTCATTCCATGCTTTCCATTATTTTCAGCATGCCATAGCCAGAAAACTGAGACAGGCTTGAGATGAAATCCATTACTGGTGCAGTATTAATGTTAGTTTTACAGATTTAGAATTGACATATAAATGAGTGTCTCAGTCCAGGTTTCACTAACTGTATTTCTCTTGAACTCAAGTTACCAAGATGAGTTGCAACCATAGACTGTACAAAAGAAGTGG